CAAAACTAATTTCCAATTTTGTCTTTTATCCAATATTTAACCAATTTACAATTTTTCCTTTTCTCTAATTTAACCAACTTCCAGCTTTGTTTTTATCCAATATAAATAATTTACAATTTTTCCTTTTATCCAATTTAACCAATTTCCAGCTTTGTTTTATCCAATATAACCAATTCTTAATTTTTCCTTTCATCCAATTTAACCAATTTCCAGCTTTGTTTTTATCCAATATAAATAATTTACAATTTTTCCTTTTATCCAATTTAACCAATTTAACCAATTTCCAGCTTTGTTTTTATCCAATATAACCAATTTCTAATTTTGCCTTTTATCCAAATTAATTAATTTCCAGCTTTGTTTTTATCCAATTTAAACAATTTGCAGCTTTGTTTTTATCCAATATAATCAATTTCCAATTTTTCATTTCATCCAATTTAAACAATTTTCAGCTTTGTTTTTATCCAATAGAACCAATTTCCAATTTTTTCTTTTATCCAATATAACCAATTTCTAATTTTGCCTTTTATCCAATTACAGACGATTTCCAAATTGTACCAAAATTTTGAATTTATTAATAAACATAAAAAAAATATAACAAATTTTTTAACTTTATTAATAACTAGCCAAACTATCCGCGCGCAAGCGCGCGGGAATGTTGTATTACACTGTTTATTGTAAACAATTTCAAGTCATTTTAATTTAAGTAATTTTTAAAGAAATACTTATTATGATACATAACTGAAAAACTAATTAGAATTAAATTTTCAAATTATATTATATTTTTAAACTTCAAAGTACATAAAAAATTTTAACAAATTTTAATACTAATTTCAAATTTTACATCAGATTTTCAAAATTGAAAATAATTAAACTTTCTTGTACGAAGTAAATTGAATTTCGCAAAAATTGATATTTGATACCTAAATAAAAATAATCTTCAACTTTCTGAACAAAGAATATAAATTAAATTTTTTTTTAGAGAATTTCCACTATTTTAAATTCGCTAATTTTCAAAAAAATTTTGAAAAAATCAATTATTTAACAAAATTTTATGCAATTTATTTTTCACAATAATTCAATTACTTTCACTAATAATAAAATTTTTCATGAAAAATCAATTTAAAAAAAGGTTTTGATTGAATTCTAAGCAAGAATTTAATTATTTTCATAAATAATAAAACTCATCGAAGAATTTCAATTATTTTCATTACTATTTTAAATTAATAATCGAAAAATTCAGTTATTTTCACAAATAAAGTTTTCACACAAGAATTCAATTATTTTAAATAATAAAATTTTCATAATATTTATTATATTTCGAAAAAAAATTATTATTTAAAACAATGTTTATAAAATTCTTATAAAGAATTCACTTACTTTCAAAAATAATAAAATTTTTTACAGAAATTCAATACTTTTTAAATATTTTAATAAGCTTTTCCGCAATAATTCTTTTATTTTCAAAAATAATAAAATTCTTCTCTGTAATTCAATTATTTTTAAGAATTATAATAAAATTCTATTTAAATTAAAAACTATTCAATTATTTTCATAAATAATAAAATTGATAGCAGGATTTCAATTATTTTTAATACAATTGAATTGCTCAAAAATTTAATTATTCTTAAAAACTTAATTTCAATTCCTCAACAAAAAAAAATTATTTAAAAAAATGTTTTTTTTAAATTCTATGGAAGAATTGAATAATTATTTTCAAAAATTTAATAAAATTGTTCGAATGAAATTAATTGTTTTAAATACAATTTTAATTAAATTTTTTTGAAATAATTTAATTTTTTAAAATTTTAATAACATTTTTTCAAAGAATTCAATTATTTACACAAATAATTTTTCGAAAGAATTCAATTATTAAAGATAAATAAAAAAATTACTCCTAAAAATTAAATTATTTTGAGGTATTTTAATAAATTTTTTTTCAAAATTCAATTATTTTCATAAAGAACAATACTATTCATCACAATAATTCAATTATTTTTAAAAATAATAAATTTCTTCTTGAAAATTCCATTATTTTAAAAAATTCTAGTAAATCGTTTGCAAGAATTCAATTATTTTCATAAATAATAAAATGTTTTTTGGGAATTTAATTATTTTCAACAAAATTTAATCAAATAAATTTGTCCTGAAAACATTGAAAATTTTTAAGGTCCTGAAAACATTCTAAGTTAAAAAAATTTAATAAAATTTCTCACAGACATTCAATTATTGACAAATTTTTTAATAGAATTCTTTGTAAAATTTAATTATCTTTAAACAATTTTCGCAATTCAATGATTTTCAATATCTACTATTTTCATAAAATTTCCAAATAGAATTCAATTATTTAAAAAATGATTATAGAAAGTGAATTTATCATTCGGCAGTTAAATATTAAGAAGAAAGAAGCTATCAATAATCCGAATCAAATTTATACAAACAAATTAAATATCTTAAACAAATCTCTATAAGCTCTTAGATTTCATATGTATCGACAGCACAGCTGCCCGAATACAGAAACCTGCTTAATCTAAAAAATATTTTCGAAATTAATTAATAATTTCAAAATTATCAAAGAATCCAGAAAAAACGGTAGCATGGTGGGATACGAGCCCACGACCTTTCTATTGCCGGTAGACTGCTCTGACCACTGAATGCATGAAGCAGGACTGAATGAATCATTTGCTATATTGGAAATGGCAATTTTGTTATGTAACAAATTTCCTGATCAATTTAAGTCTCGATTTGGAGATCCTCATGTGCGTTTAGTTTTTCAGAAAGAGTTGGCGTAATATTAGTGTGTCCAGCAGTGAGGGAAGTCATAAAAGTTGGGAAATTTTATTAAAAGTCAAGGAATTTTTTTAAATATTGAACAAAAGTTAAAGTTTTTAAAAAATTTGTTACTTTATAAAGACTTAAATGATTTTTACAAAAATTACTACTATTATTAAATATTAATTTATTGTTAAATTAGTAATTGTATAAAGTAGAGTGGATTAAGTTTTTAACTTTTTAAGTGACTTATGATTAAATAGGAACAGACTCGTTGTCGATTAAAGAACTGCTGCAAATATTTGAAAAGCAAAAGTCATAAGCAAGAGAAATCCAAAAAATCTACTGATGATCAGTCGAAAACGCATAGTAGGAAAGGATTAAAAAACGATTTACGTTCGACTAGAAGATCCCGAATTATGTGTTCGAAAAAATTAAATGCAGCGGAAATCTTAGACAAGTATCCTGCTTTAAAGTCAAATGACATGGTAAACTCAATATCCTTATCAGTAGTACATAATGCTCAAATTCTGAAAAGCAGACAGTCTTACTGTAATCAAAGATATTAATTAATTAATTTTTTTATTTATTTGACAACTGAAAATTGTTTTTGCTATTTTAGCTACTTTGGGAACTTGGGGAAATTGCAAATTTAACTGTGGAAAAATTGCAAGAAAATTGGTTGACGGCTTTACCGAAAATTATGAATGTATTGAAAATAAATAGCGCTAACTTAAACGAAGATGGTAAAACAATATCAATTCTATTTCATATTCCGAAATTATTTTCCAAGGCGAAGGAAACCGGGAAAATTCTTCAATCTTATCCTGTAATATTTTGGTCTTGTGAACTCATATATACGTCTCTTATGCATTAATTATGATTTATTATTAAATTAAATTTTTAGTCTGGACCGGCAATTTCCGATACAGTCCCTGGGATGAATGAGGCTCCAAGACTTATTGCTATTTCAAACAATCCTTTTAACGAACTCCAACTAATGTGCTATGTAGATAGTAAACCCATTTTTGAAGCGAAAGGATTTGAAGCTATTTTGCTGTTAATTTCTGTCTATTGGATTTTTCAAGTTGAGTTTCCTTCAGATGCAAAGCAACAATTTGCTTTTATAGCCATAGCTATTCTAAGAGATGTCGGCATAAAAGATGTCGGCAAAAACCTCGCCAGTAAAGTTTCTTTAACATCAGCATTAAAAAATTGCGGATTATTGGAAGATAAAGACGATTGAAAGCTTTTAATAAGAATAACTTTTTCCCTTGAACTAGTTAAAAAAAATCTTTATGTTTATAAATTTATCATTAATTTTTTCTTCTACTATTTTATTATAAACTATCATAAGCATAATATGGAATAGTAGAACATAATTATTGTTGATTACTTTTAAAGTTTAATAAATTTAATTAATTGAATTTCAGTACAAAGTCTGTTTAATTTGGTTTAAATTAATTAATTTTAGGAATGAAAAAGAAAAAAATTAAACTTTATATTGTTTAAAAATGCATCTGACATGAACATAATGGTTGTGTAACCGGAGCGGATGGTGCAGATGGTATGTATGGTATAGATAGTGTGTGTGGTACGGATGGTGTGTGGGGTGTGTATTGTGTACATGGTGTCCATGGTGTAGATGGTGTGTATGATGTGTAGAGCCTCTGTGGTGCGGATGCGAATTGTGAGTGTAGTGTACATGGTGTGTAAGGAACACAAAAGTTGTTTGGCGATTCTGGTTGTGCATGCATGGTGCATGTTCTTGCTTGCGAAAATGGCTGTGAAATGCTTCGGGTTTGACAAACTTCTAGACTTCTTTGAAAAAGATATTTTTCTCTCCTTCTCAGCCGCTGCTGGTTCCTGAAATTACAAAGAAAAAGTAGTTTATAAATTGTAGTTAATTTAATTATTATAGATAAAATTATAGATAATTTAATAATTTATAAATTATAGACAAATTACAAATAATTTCCCTAGGTGAAAACTATTCTTACACAAATTGGACGAATTTTGTTTTAAAATTATAGGAATTCTTTATATATATATATTTAATATAAAGCATGCAATAATGTTTAAAAAATTATTTATACCTTCTATTTTTCTTTTGCTTCATTTTCCTTTTTAAGTTTCTTTGATCTTTCCTTTCTCTCATTTTTTGTCCATTTTCTCCTTTATTCTGTTCATTCTCGTTATTTTTATTTTCCAACTTCATTTCCCCAACAGTTTTATCAACTGACACTTGCTCTTCCTTTTCCTTTCTTCCCCAGAAAATTTTCTTTAGAAATTTAAAGACTGAAATCCATAAATTATAACCTTAGTTAAAATATGAAACTAATAAAAATCGTAACCTCAATTTTAAGATAGTAATCACAATATAGTAACCATAATTATATTAAGGTTATTATCAATTTTATTAACATATTGTTATTACTTCTGAAATTGTAATCAAAATTTAATAATTACCCACCTTTTTCTTCTTCAGGGATACCAAAAAGAACAAATTATTTTTGTTTATGGTTAAAAGAGACAAAACTCAATTCAAAAATATAGACTATACATTCAATTTATAAAAAAAAGAATGAATAAAAAAATGAGTTTGTTTATACACAATTATGCTGCATATATTTGTTTCGATATAATAAATACTGAATGCGATTAGTGTTAAATAGATAAAAAATTCTATTTTGATTTTTTGATTCGAGCGATAAAAAACTTTGTCCACTAATTTGCAAACTGATTGTCTTCGACCGTGCGAAAATTAAATAACATTCAGGTATAATATTTTTCTAACCAATAAATTAATTCGAATTCAAAGAAATTAATTTTGCAAATAATTTGTCAAATATCCACCTTAACCCTTTAACGACGAGATGTGCTACTTTTCAACATGAAATTTAATCTCTTACAATTACTAGAAAAAAGCCATAAAAGTTTTTAAAAGTCCATACCCTACTATTTTTGGGGTCGCTCTTTCGAATGGTGTGGTCAAAATTTTCAAAAAATGATATTTAACCCTTCTTTTTTCAAAAATACTAAAAAAAGTCAAGTTTTTTTAATGTAATTTTTTTCAAAAGAATTTTTTTCTGTGTCATAACGCTTTTCAAATAGAACAAAAAGTATCAAAAACGTGTTCCCGATAGTTGTACTTGAAAAATATTCATTTCTAAATTTTATTTTTTTCGATTTTGAATTTAAAATGGCGCTTGAAGGACAAAAATTTTTTCTTATTTTATGTAAGATAATAAACTTTTTCAAAATTGCTCAAATCTGATTGAAATTTGTTACTCAGGGGTTTTCGTGGTCGCTGATTACGAATTTGAAGTCTGATTTCAAAAATTCAAAATGGCGGATCCAATATGGCGGATGACTTTTTAAAAAATTGATCGGATTCGCTTGAAACTCGTTACTCGGGGGTTATCGGGGTCGCTGGTTACGAATCTGATGTCAGTTTTTTTTTTTTGTTTTTTGAAAATGTTTTAAATGATTTTTTTAATATTTTAAATACTTTTATTAATTTTGTTTTCTTTAAATATTTTTATATTTGTCGTAACAAACGACAAAAGACAAGTGACGATGCATAAAAGACGAATGACAAAAAAACAAAAGAAAATCAAGAGACAAAAAAACAGTACTACTGCCCTATTTTTAATAATATTATTGTAATAGTTTCAACATTAGATTCGCCATTTAAAAATTTTGTAAGAATGATTCCAGATTTATATTTACACACCCCGCAAACTTCAAAGAAGCAGCATTCAGTCCTATATTGTCAATTTTTAATTTTTGACTATCATATTGTATCCATTATTTTAAAGTTAGAGAAACTGACTTCAGATTCGTAATAAGTGACCAAGAACAACCTAAGCGGTAATTTTCAAACAAATTTGATGGATTTTTTTATTTCTTCGTCCAACATATTGAATCCTCCATTTTTAATTTTAATAAACTGACTTCCAATTCAGCATCAGCGACTTCAAAAACCTCCGAATGCCAATTTTTAAGCAAATTTGTTTCATTTTTACATTTTGTTTGACATATTGGATCCGCCATTTTGAATTTTGAAAAACTGACTCCAGATTCGTAATCAGCGACCCCAAAAACCCCCGAGTGACAACTTTCAAGTAAATTTGATTAATTTTTTACTTCATCGTCCGCCATATTGACTCCGCCATTTTGAATTTTCAAAATTTTGAAAATCTGATTCCAGATTCGTAATCAGCGACCCCGAAAACCATAGGTACTATAACTATTGTAGATATTTTTTAATTGCCCTAATTATGGGACTGAAAGGGTTAAACTTGGTACCCTAAGGTTTCTGGGGTCGCTGATTACGAATCTAAAATTAGTTTTACGAAATTCAAAATGGCGGATCCAAGATGGTCTAAATTGTTTCAAAATTCGTCGAATTTGCTTGAAACTTGTTACTCGGGGATTTTAAGGGTCGCTGATTACGAATCTAACAATAGTTTTCCAAAATTCAAAATGGCGGATCCAATATGGCTGACAACGAAATAAAAAATTGATCAGATTGGCTTGAAACTGAATACTTGGGGATTTTCAGGGTCGCTGATTACGAATCTGAAATCAGTTTTTAAAAATTCAAAATATCAGGTTCAATATGGCGGAAATTTGTTTAAAATTTATTGAATTTGTTTGAAACTGGTTAATCTGACATCAGTATGGTAATTTTTGGTGAAATCAAATTTTGATAAATATCCTGAAAAACTAATGTCAGATTCGTATTCAGCGACCCTAAAAACCCCCGAGTATTCAGTTTCAAGCCAATCTGATCAATTTTTTATTTAGTTGTCCGCCATATTGAATCCGCCATCATGAATTTTGGAAAACGAACGTCATCTTTGTAATCAGCGACCTTGAAAACCCCCGAGTATCCGGTTTCAGGAACATTTAAGAAGTTTTTAATCTTTTTTTTTAAGTTGCGCATATATGCGTCATGAACACTTTTGGCCAGTTTAGTTTTGCGCATATATGCGTCAGCGACAGTCAACGGGTTAGTAAAAAATTAAAAAAAAATTTTTTTTGATTTCTTAAAAGTCGAAAAAAACTAAAACTTTCATTCTCTGACAACTTTTTCCTAAACTAAATATTTTCGGATTTATAAGCTACTAAATATAGGTCTACAATTAAAAGTCCAGAATTTTGAAAATTCATAACTCGAAAATTTGGACAATTAAACAAAAATAAAAAAATACATATCTGTTTTTTTTCGATAGAGAATAGAAAAAAAAATATTTTTTTACGATTTTAAGAGATCGACTTAAATCTCACGTGGAATTGCCCATAAATATATAAACTTTTAACATATTTAAATTTTAGAAAATTAAAAATTGCGGCTGTAGCTTACACTGTAAAAAATTTAGGGAGTTAACGGACTCGGGAGTTTAGAGTGAAATTTTTCGAGTTAAAAATCAACTCCAAAAGAGATTTAATTTCTAACTCCCTTCATTCAACACCCGCGCGAGTTATTTTTTCCTTGGGGAGTTAGCATTTGGGTGTGAAATTTTAACTCTCTTTATTTAACTCCCCTGGCATTAACTCCCCAATGGGTGCGACTTTTATAGACCCCCGGGGTAGTTAAAATTTAACTCTCTTTTTTTACAGTGTAACTACACATGCCGCCGTATTTTTTTATCCGCCGTACGTTCGAGGCGCAGGACATATGATCGAATAGACATTTGATCAAAAAGTCATTTGATCGAATGTCTTTTCGATCAAATGTCTTTTCGATCAAATGTCTATTTGATCGAATGTCTTTTCGATCAAATGTCTATTCGAACAAATGACTTTTTGATCAAATGTCTATTCGATCAAATGACTTTTCGATCAAATGTCTATTCGATCAAATGACTTTTTCATCAAATGTTTATTCGATCAAATGTCTATTCGATCAAATGTCTTTTCGATCAAATGTCTATGCGATCAAATGTCTATTTGATCAAATTGACTTTTCGAACAAATGTCTTTTCGATCAAATGCTGTTCGATCAAATGTCCATTCGATCAATTGTCTTTTGGGAAGAATTTATGTGCCTCGTACGTTCCACAACCTCGCCAGGTTATCTGAATAAAAAATTCTTAATAAATTATTAAACAGGGATAAATGTAGAGGCCTTATCGTTTTGCTTTTTTAAGAAAAAAATTTTTTAATACTTTTTTTGACCGATAATGTAAAAAAACGTGGTAAAAATGAGTTTTCTCTTCAAATAGCCGCCATTTTGCTGAAAAACGTTTTTCAAAGGAAGAAAAAGGATACGGGCCCCTAAATTTATCATAGCTTAATAATTTATAAAAAAATTTTGATTCAGATAACCTGGAGAGGCTATGGCGCAATAAATATAGGGCGCAGTGTCTTTTATAAGTTATAGGGGGTAAGAGTTTCAGCATGATAAAAAAACACTGTTTTTGTGAATTTTTTTAGAAATACACTGAAAAAAATATCTGGTTGAAGTTACCAGAGTCATCTGGTTAAAAATTTTCTTTTTAACCCATTCAGTCCCAGTGGTCGATATATCGACAACCTTTTAAGGCACCGATTTTTTTAACATAACTTAAAGGAAAACTTTAAATAATTGCATATTTTTTATTTTTATGTTTCTACAAATATGGTTTAGTAGTTTTTTAACAAATTAATCTATATTATTTATGTTTTTGTTATTAACAAACTTATACATGGCAACGCATTATTTCAGGTTAAACTTAACTGTAATAAAATTAAATCAGTAACATATATACTTTAAATTATAATTGTTTTCAAAATTCTCAGGGTTTGCTGAATATTAATCTAAAATCAGATATGGGCATATCTCTAGAACTTTTAATCTTTATGTTTCCGTTTATTATTATATTTTAAAAATTATAAAAATAATTTTGCAGTACCATAATTTGATAAATTATTGTGCTCTTTAAATATACCATGTGTATAATAATCATTTTAATTAGGTAGGGAACGACAAAAGTAAGAAAAAGTGTCGAAATCGACAGTTTCTCGTGTGTGACATTGACTGTTTTTTTCAGTTTATATGGTATAACTTTTTTAACGAGTCATTATATATTTTGTAACTTATAGTAGATGTAGTGGGGAGTATAAGGAACCAAAAAATCATTGAGACAATGAAAGATTCCTTCATTATTTATTGAAATATTTTAGTTTTAAGAGACAGGGCGGCGCGCAGTGAACCTTCGTTTGTGTGCAGTCCCAAGTGATATTTTTTCACTGGCTCAACAGAACATGCTTTATTTCACAGGAAATCTTACTAATAAATTATATAATTT